TTGCACTGCCGGCCTCACAGAGTAGAGAATTGAGAGAGATGAGGAAGGAAGAGAAGAGGGGAAAAGAGAGAGGAGGCTGACGTGGCCACAGTGACATGTGGGGCCCACGTGGGTCTCACGCTGACTCAGCCACTACGTCAGATAAAACCGGGGTCAAAACTACGGAAGGATGTAAAGTGAACGGTTTTGTTAGTTGAGTGATGCCCGGTATCTGGTTTTGAGGTTGGGGGATGATTTTGTATCTCAATGACAAATTAAGGGACCTTCGGTGTACTTTTTCCAATGGAAAATACCGACAAAATCAAAAGGAACTAGTATCCGGAGCATCAGCCCACCAGAGGTTGCCACGAAAATGTTCAGGATCATTCGACTGGGGGAGGGGGGGGGGGGCATCGGTCGCTCCCCCTCCTCCCCACGCACACCCGCTAGACCCATTTCACCTATTGTACTTACGGTGTTTCACTATGTATATATCTAATATTGCAGTGAATTAAAATATTCTTTTGCAACAAATCACCCACATATTTTAGAAACCCTCTATTAAGGGAATTCGTTTTATTTTTTGTTCCACAAAAAATCACCTAGTGTACTCACGATGTTTCACTATGTATAGATATAATGTTGCAGTGAACTGAAACATTCTTTCACTATTTGCTGAAACATTGTTTTTATATAAGGTAAAACAACACCCGATTTAAACGATTGAAACATTTTCGATCTACTTAGTGAAACAATTCCGATATACTTAATGGAACATCGTGCAACATTTAAAAATAGTACAATAATAAGCTAATTTTTTTCGTCGGAATATATCCATGTATTGTCTTGTTTTGAAGATTTAATTGCAACGAATTTAATAGTGCAATCGGATCATGATTTGGATAAATAATTTAAGAGAAAAATCAGTTTAAAGTGATTTTGCATGTATGCGTGACGTTGATGTCATGCTGACGTCAGTGTCCGATTTTTGCTAATCTGATCGGACGTCCGACGCGTAGACCCTTCCAGGACAGGTTGTCAGCTATCCATAGCCCAAGGTCCATCAGCCCATCTTCTCCTCTCCAACGAAATCCCCAATTCGCCACCCCCTCTTCGCGAGCCTTGCCCTCGCGGTCGCGGGACAGATTAGCGGACACCATGGCGGAATGGAGCGGCGATGGAGGTCGGCCGGTCATGGAGCAGAGCCGGCGAGGACCCGCTGCCCTCTGCGCCAAGTCGTCGCCCAGTCGGAGAGATCGACCTCCGTTTTAAACCGAAATAGTTCTGTGTTTCGGTTAGGTTTTAAGTTTCTTTTTCCTTGGTAATTTTGGATGGTACATCTTGAAACAAATGTCAAGCTTCGCAAAACTGAACTAGAAAACCGTAGTATATACCGCATGCTTACTACTACAATACAACAGTTAGAGAATAAGGGTTAGAGATTTTCCTTTTTGGGTTAGTATAGTAGTGTGATATACTACTTGCTTAGCTGCATAGGCATGCCTGTACTTTTAGATGCGCACATTCTTCACTAGCATACACAGAACACTTGCCTCTAAAGTCTGGATACGCTTATGCCCACTAAACGGCACATGCTTGTGCAACAATATTCGGTGAAATGGTATCATCAAATCTAGTATCCGAGGCGCTGGTGGGTTGTATGCGCACATCCGCACCATTTCAACGTCTCGCCGCAGCCCGGGGAAAAATGGGTAGTCCCCCTGTCCCAAAATATTTTGACGCCGTTGACTTTTTTAAAAATGTTTGGCCGTTCATCTTATTCGAAAATTTTAAGTAATTATTAATTATTTTCCTATCATTTGATTTATTGTTAAATATACTTTTATGTATACATATAGTTTTACACATTTCATAAAAATTTTTGAATAAGATAAATGGTCAAACATTTAGGAAAGGAGGGAGTATTTATTTGGAATGCCGTACTATCTTAAGCGAAACTGTAGCACCTCACTTGGCTTCTAGTCATTACCCCTCAAACCCTCACGCAAAACGAAGCAGCGTTTAGCACATGATTAATTAAGTATTAGCTAAAATAATTTTGAAAAATAGATTAATATGATTTTTAAAGTAATTTTCATATAGATGTTTTTATTAAAACATGCGCTGTTTAGCAGTTTTTTTTAAGAGAAGGGTATATATACAGCCTAACTTAGCCCTCAAATAATCCAATCTGAAATTCGCTCCTATGGAGATTTGAACTCAGGACCTTGGGGGTGTTACTCAGGTCACTGTAACCATTAGGCTACATGCTTTTTCACAAATAGTTTGAAAAGTATGCACGCGGAAAACGAGGGATGTGAGTTGTGAAAGTAGAGATAAGAACTCAGCCTAAGGTTGTGTACCAATTATTGTTCTAGAGACTGTTAGGTGACATATAAGGTTAATTTCAGGCTTTAGAATCCACAAGCTGAAATCTTATCATTTTCTTATCTGTGACTTCATTATTCCAACTGCCATTTAGGCGTTAACAATGTTATAATGTTATTCACCGCCTTGCATCCTTTCTGGTATTGCCTTGCTATTTGACTCTCGGGGAATTCATTAGGTTCTTTCTGTACATAGCAGTATCGGCAATGTAAGCATTGTGGTGTTTTGCGAACGGGCATATAGCATAGTGGTGGTTACAGTGATCTGAGTAGCACTTTAAGATCCTAAGTACAAATCTCCATAGGAGCGAATTTCGGATTAGGTTATTTGCAGTGCTAAGTTCCACTACTAAAAAAGGGTTTTCATGGACGAGACCCTCGTTAAGTTACAGACGGATCATAACCGACCGTGTCTGTAAAAATCGATCTCCATTTTTACATACGGCTCCTTAATAGACTCACACACAAAAATCAATTTTCGCAGATGAGCCTCTTAACAGGCCCGCACGCAAAAATAGAAAAATCTATTTTTGCATGCAAGCCTATGCGGGCCTCTTAAACGGCCCGCCTGCAAGTCCAATCCTCCTCCTCTTTCCCTCTCAACCTATTAAAAAAAATTAACCTATCTATTCTCACCTCTCTCTCTCTCCCTATCTTCTCCTCACTTCCTCTCCTCCTCTCATTCTGAAGTCCTCTCAGGCAGCGACTCGCTCGGGGAGCAGCGGCGGTGGGCGGAGTGGCTGGGAGCGGGAGCTGCGGGCTCGGTAAAGCAACGGCGGTGGGTTGCGGGGGCGGTGGGCTCGGGAGAAGCGGCGGCGGTCGGGAGCGTCGGGCTCGGGAGTGGCGGCGGCGAGCGGCTCGGCGGACGGTGATGGCCGGCGTGTGCGTGACGGCGACCCGCCTTGATCTAGCAGAGGTGGCTGCCCCCTGCCTGAATCTAGTAGCGGCAGCCGTCCCTCGCCCGGATCCGTGTGGATTCGGTGGCGGTGGTGGCGGGCTGGCGCGGCGGCCGACGGTGCGGTTTTATTTCTTTTTTCGGATTTTTATTTTTGCAGACCTTTTAGTGTGTACGGGCTGCGCTACCACACGCGAAAATAGGTTACGGGCCGTCTGGAAAAAGCCTTTTTTACTAGTGTTCCCAGTTTGAATGGCTGCATATATCTGGTTAGATGTAGAGGTCGGGTAAAAAAAATACTCTTCTCCAAAAGAATAATAAAAAAGCATGTTGGTGTAGCGGTGCCCACGCGCTGACAGAGGATTGATAGTGCTGGAGCAATGGTAGATCAGCTATAGATAGGCAGGCGACAGGTGACAACCTAGCTCTTGGTCGGGCCAGCTATAACGGCATTTTCGAGGGTCATTTTCCCTCTCGAGGGTGTTGTTATGCCGTCCCATCTCCTCTAGTGAGGCTGCCGGGTGAAAACGCAGTCTCGGTGCTTTTTGAGACCCCGACGGACGACGGCGGTTGCGGTTTCGTCACTCCTCTCCCTGGAGACGTCGTCTTGGCAACCCCCTTGCTGAGTTCCTACCAGACTTCGATGCAAACTTAATCTAGATTCCGGTCCTCTTGTGTTAGTGCCCTAGCTTATGCAAGTTGACCACGTCGAAGGGCCTGGAGGAGAGCGACATTCTTCTCTCTCACCCTCTCTCCCTCAATCCCAAATATGTGGATAGAGTGTAGTTTTACGTCGGTTGTTATGGTGGGTGTTGGGCGATCACGGTTGTTGCTCCTTTGTTGGCTAGCACCGTCCGGTCATACTTAGTGACAGTTGGTCCGGTGTTAGCCTTCTCCCAGGTCCATGTGTTGGTGTTGTTGGTGCGTGGATGGTGGTCATTTCTTCTTTCTTTTCTTGGTTATGACCTCTTAGGATTGTAATCTTATAATTTTTTTCTGCTCTATCAATATGAACTTCGTACTGTCTGATGCAAGTCGTTCAAAAATAAGTAAATAAAGCAAATCATACTCAAGCATAGGAACATGTGCAATATCCAATTTTATTATTCGGATCAAAATAAAGCTTTATCACTTGTTTACAAACAGAGAAGTGCTTCCAGTAGGCTCAAAGTCACATATACTGTGGTTTTTGACATGACAGTATGGAAACAACGAAATCGAAATAGAGAAAAAATCTTCAATAATTTTAACACCCAAACACACTTGAGATTAAACACCATTTTACTCACAATAAATTTATAGTCAAATTTATTTTTTCGCGAGGGCATAGTGGAAGAAAACTGACGCAGAGTACCAAAGCAAACATAATCCAATCAGGAAGATGCAACAACTCCTGATGACCGAAGCAATTCCCATTTTGTACCTCCGACAGCTATGTGCCTCCAAGTTCCTAGATCCCGTCTCACTTGTTTCTCCTAAAAAATTAACCAAAACATTGTAAACGATATTTTTTTTAGAAAACTATAGCTATATAGTAACATTGAATAATTTAAATTGCATTCTTTGATACAATAATACGTTTCAAAATACTTTTTAATAGCAATTTTATTTAACAGTTTTTCTACCATACCACTGAGCTCTGAAGATGCTGTCATTTGATGAAAAAAAAAAGTTAAGAAATGACTCCGGATGTGCAAAGGGAAAAAATGATGTATATTGATCGTCTTATCTATCTAGTCCTAGTTGCTATCGAAGTTCTTAGCAAAAAGGGGAATAGCATGACATAAACTTGCTGCTGTCAAGGCCATACCGTTAAAATCAAGCAGAAATCACGGTGTGAAGACCACTAACCTGTATAGTTTGATGTTTGACCGCCCAAAAGCAAGGAAATATATGAGGAGAACTGTATGGCTGTGCGCATCATTGGCCTCCGGCGTGCAAAGAAAGAACTATTGGACACGATGAAGGGATTGGTACCCAATGTTGGCTCAAAGGTCTCCAGGTTCTTGTCAAACACTTTGAAGAATCCCTTGTAATGATCAAAGGTTTTATTGCAATCCCACTGTAGTTTGCTCCACCATTGCTCCTCTCCTCGTATCCGCTTTAGATGAGTAATCCCTTCATGTGTTGCTTGGAGAGGAAACTCCTGAAGCAATGGACACCCAAACACATCCATGTATTCCAAACAAGGGCTGTCCAGCTTAAGCCTGCTGAATATTTCCAGATTTGGCAAGTAGTTCAACTGTAGTATTCTGAGCCTAGGGAAGGCGTGGACTCTGGTGTTGTCTGCCATGATTTCACTTTCTTCTCCATCATCCGTTTCAGCTATGATACATTTGAGCATGCTGCAAAATGACAAGTCAAGGTGCTCCAGGTATGGCAATTTGACAATCCAGGTTAGGTCAACAAGTCCATTGTTCTCAACGATGTTCAGCATACGAATATAGAGGAGATCCTCCCCAAAGCTTACTTTACTTAGTTTCGGCAGGCGCCAGAAGGTGAGGTACTCCAAATATGGAATTGCCTTTTCAGGGTAACTATCATCGACATATTCAATTGACAAGGTTTCAATGTCGAGGCACATTTTGAAGTTCACCACGGACATGCTACTCTTTAATTTTAAGCTGACGGAAGATTCTCCTTCAAGTTGTTCTACACCAAGATTGTGTACATTAATGTTCTGAAGTTTGGACAGCTTCTTAAGAGCACGGCTTGTCTTAACAGTAATACCGAGAGCTAGCCCATTCTCGAAGCGTTCCAGTTCCTTTAAGCTGAACTCTTTAGTTTGTTTGCCATTTGCGCAGCTACCATCAAATTCTTTCTCGAAGCCTGCGTACTTACTCTGGTATAAGTAGAACACTTTGAGCATTGAGAGCCTGGATATCACACCATAAGGTATGTTCCTCAGATGGTTTGTGAAACTGAGGTTCAGTATCCTTAGCTGTTTCAAGTCCCCAAACTTTTCTGGCAGGGAGGCTATGTGTGAGTCAGCAAGGTTCAGGTACTGCAGGTTGACAAGGGAGCAGATATCCCTTGGAAGATACTCAAACTGAGTCCAGCTTAGATCCAAGTACTTGAGTGCAGACATGCTTTGGAAGAAAGATGGTAGTATCTCACTGAAATGGAAGTTCTGTTGAAGCACCAATACCGACAATTTTGGGCAGCTTGGGAGCTCAGAAGGCAGAGATTTAATGAAATTACACATCAGTGAGATCCTTGTAGCACTGGCCCATCTCTCTACATCAGTAACGTTCTTCACACTATTGCCTGCTTTCACAATCCAGTTCTCCTCCGACGTGATCCAGAGTGCCATCTCGCGGATCGTGTCGTGAAGCCGAACCTCGGTTTGCCTCATGTCCCCCTCCTCTAGTAAGCACACACTTTTGAGCTGCCCAATCACGGAATACCCATCATTGTGGCTTTGACATATTGCTTTTCCTATAGGTATCAGGCCCAATCCTATCCAGCAGTTCACTAGGTCAATGTTCCATATTGAGTAATCTTGTGGCCAGAGGACACATGCCAGGAAGCACTGTTTTAGTTGATCACTACTCAGGTTGTCATAGGTAAGCTTCAAGGTGGCAAGAATAGCGTTGTCGCTGTTCCGTCTTGAATTTTCCAAAAGCTGGTAGCTCCTGTTGATTGATCTGAGGGCGGCCTCCCACTCCTGCCACTGCCTTCTTATGGACATGGATTTCCCCACAGAAACAAGTGCTAGCGGAAGTCCTTTGCACCTATTACAAACCTCCTTTGCTAAACGTTGTATCCTCATGTCCAAGTTGATAGTTGCTTCTGTGACATTGTGTAGGAATAGCTTCCATGCATCATCTTGAGGTAGGCATTCCACTTTTATTGTTGTTCTTGCCTCCATTTCAGCACACACTTGCTCCGAACGGGTTGCTAGGACTACTTTATGGATCTTGTCACGACCTGGTGGTGGAACTCCAATATCTTCAAGGCTAATTTTCCCCCAAAGGTCATCCAGGAGAAGCAAGAAGTTCTTGTTCCAGAGATAGTCGAAGATAGCTGCACGACGGGATTCTCTCCCGGTGTCCATCCTCAGCTCCAGCCCAAGTTTCTCAAGTAAGTTTATCTGAAGATTCTCTGGCTTGCAGTCCCTTGATGCTGTAATACAGATGACAAGATCGAAATGCAGGCCATCAACAGCACCAAGGAATTCATTGTTGATGAGCTTTAGCAGCGTCGTCTTCCCAACTCCACCCATTCCCCATATCCCAAGTACTGGGATGTCTCTCTTTCTCAGGTAGCCCAGGGCTTTGTCAAGGTAACATTCCATTCCGACGACTGAGGTTCCGATGTGCCTGCGCTCGACATTGGCTGGAGGTTTATCAGGAAACTCATCTTCATTAAAATTATCACCATTATTGTACACTACCTTCAACTTTACCAGTTTCTTTGTGGCTCTACTGCTGATTCCGTAGCTCCTTGTAACATTGAAGTTTGGAGGCAGCCTATGAAAACATAGTGTCCTACTGTCATACTCGGCTTTTATTTCATCTGCTTCATCAATGGCTTGTCTCGCTTCTTCCATCCATTCGCTCACTATATTTGGGCAAATTTTCTGTTTCCTCTCTGCATTCTTAATACGTACCTCATTATCGTCCCTCAGCGCTTGCAGTTTTCTTCTGAACTTTGTTAGCTTGTCAACATTTTGTGCAGTTTTGAAAGGATATGCAAGGTGCGGTAGAAGCCATTGGCCAGCACGACACATCATCGTGGATGCACTTGCGGCGACATGAGTGACGGATACCATTTCTACAGTGAAAAGGAACAGTGTGATGAACATTTGAACAAATATTTTCAGTGACAGTTCAACCAAAATGGAGGGGGGGCAACACTTACTGAATTTCTCACAAGAAACGTGATACTAAATATCCCTCGATCCTCTTATTTGAACTTGTGCCGTCCTTAGAAGAAGAGCAAGCTTGACTAGCCCGATTTCTCCGGATATTAGAAACACTGACAGAGAAATATAAATATCAATGTAGATTAATCTGATAGAAGGTTTCACATATAAATCGCAAATGGATAGCGAATATGAATCTTGTTTTAGGTCATTTCTTATGTTATTGTTAGACATAAATTAGACAGGATCACACGAATAAGAGATTATGCCCCGTTACTAAATGCGGCTTCTACTGATTTTCCTGTTGCAAACAGTAGATATTATGATGTGCATGTCTCATGAAGTCTCGTACATCCTTTTGTTGATTCAATAATTGAACCAAACATTATCCCATTGGTGAAAGTATTACTCCCTAAAACATTTCATCGAAGAACTTAACTGATTGGACTATTTTCAGTCCATTTTACCTCCCAACTAATTCAAACCAGCTAATAACTTTACTCTATAATGCCATTCTGTTTTAGGCCTTTCTTTATACAGTTTTGGATTTTAGGTTGAAATTGGATGGGATGATAATGGCATCATATCTACTGTTGAAAATGAAAAACTAATTAGGAGCAATGTTACAGGGACATACAAGCAGTGGAGACCACCAATTCGGTACAATCATAAAAAACAACTTGATAAACTATATTTATATATGCTGTAAATATTTTTTTAAAAATCTATCATGTATAGGGAAGTTTGTTGTAATTTATACACATATAAAGATGTAGATTTAACTCAATTTCCTATGGATGATAGGAATTTCTAAACAACAGAATTAATAGTGTTGGAACAGAGTTGACTGTTTTACCTCTATTGTCTTTGCCCGCTGTTTGTGAATTTTTGGATTTACGAGTTGATTTTGAAATTATATATACATGATCATATAATAACATCGCGTCACTTCTATCTCTATTATTATTATTATATATGTGTGTGTGTTACAAAAATTAAAGGTGTTTTTGCTACAATTTTTTGTATGTCGTCGGTCGTAGCCTGGCTCCCGATTCGATTTCTTTTACTATCCTGTTCATTTATTAGCGAGAAGCAAAAAAAAAAAAAAGTATTGCATGGATAGGAAAGATCGGCGAGACGGAGAGAGAGCGGGCTGACATACTCAAGGCCTACCTGGGCCTTGGCCAGGTAATGTATAATGACTAGCACATAATTTTCCAAATGTGATAGGCTATAAATTATATTCCCTCCGTCTCAAAATGTAAGCATTTTTAGCTATAAATCAGGCTGTCCAGATTCATAATTAAAAATGCTTACATTTTGGGATTTATAGCTAAAAATGCTTATATTTTGGGACGGAGGGAGTACGTTACTAGAAAAAGCCCCGTGCGTTGCTGTTGGAGTTTACTGTAATAACAATAAGTAAAAATAATGTGTAAGATAGTTTAAATAACATAAATTTGCATACACATAAGTTTATATAAATTGATGTGATTTAAATTAAAATAGTATATAAAACAAAAGTAAGATGTTGTGTCTTTATGAGAGAAAAAAAAGATAATTTAGACCATACATCCAAGGGCTAAAAAATCGAGATAATATGGTTTAATGAGAGATAAAAAAGAGGAGAGACAATTTGAACCATATATTAATCATCTAAGGACTAAAAATAATTGATGTGAAATAGCTTAGTAAAAGAAATAGAAATAACGTTAACTAATTAAGTGAGGGTGAACTATATATATAGTGTATAGAATATTATAATAAAATGATAGAGAAATATATTAAAATATTATGTGAATTATCAATTATGTGGGATGATTAACGTGCTTGCATTTTAAATCTCTAAAATTTAATAAATTATAAAATTATAGATAATATAGCTTGTCTATATGATGCTTAAATGTAATAGTTATTAGTGGGAGATGATGTGATATTTTTGCATGTTAAACTTTAGGAATTAGTAATTGTTAGTGCATGATGATGTGACATCTTTACATATTAAGTTTTAGAAATTAGTGCACTATAACTTTATAGTAAGAGAGGATTAGGTAATATATAGCTATAGTCATTACGTATAATTAAATTAAATTTAAATTTGATAACGAATATGAAACCATCAAATATTTTTTCCTAAACACCCTAACTAAAGATACTTCGAATAGTGAACAACAAGACAAACACAAACATCATAGTACTGTAGGACAAATTATTATTCCGTATAGGAATAAGTTTACCTGACGTCCCTCCACTTTATATCGAGTTTGTCTGAGGTCCTCATTCCTCGTACCAAAAATTTATATTCCTAAACTATTCAAAACCATTCAAAGTTAGTCCCAAGACAGTATAGACCAAAATTCCCCTGGTTTTGCTGGCGTGGCATATGTTGGGCCCCACGTCTTAGTGTGTCATGACATTACATGATGCTACACGAGTGGTCGTCGCCGCCGGTGGCCGCAGCGAAGAAGCCCGACGAGCTCACGGCAACACCGCCATGTACGGCTGCTCCGCGACGGGGAGCGCGGGAAGGGTGCAGTGCGGAGAAGAAGGAGAAGGAGAAGGGCTCGGAGAAGAAAGCCGCGGCGCCGGAGAAGCAAGCCAAGGCACCACCGGCCGCACCCATACCTTCGATGCCCGCTCCAGCACTAGCGCTCATGTCGCCAGAGCGCCCTCATGGGGCTACTCGCCATAGATTCGAGGACCTGTCAGTGCCGGTGCCGGGTCGCCACCGCCAAGGAACCCCCGACCCCGACCTCACGCCGTTGCGGGCGGATCTGGCGGCCCCTCACTAGCTGTCGGCCCCACCGCCTGATCTGAAGGATGAGCGCGTGGTCGCTGGCTCCATCTGAGCTGCCTGGGTCATCGCCAACACACCGTCGTCCGGATCCTGCCGCCGCCCGGGCTCACCGGCCGCCTCCCCCTCCCACTCGACCTCGCCCGTTGCGCTGTCCTCGGCGTCCGCCTCCCCGTGCCCTGCCTCAACCTCACCGATCGTGCCACGCTTGTCAGGTTCAGGAAGCAGCGATGGTGACGATGGTGCGCATGAGCGTCGTCGGGTGCTGCATCGGCGGTGGTGACGGAGCTCGGCCGGTCTCGACGGCTGCCTCTACCCCATCTACCTCCGGCGGCCTCCCGTGAAGTGAAGAGAAGAGAAGAGAAAAGATGAGCCGAGAAGAGAAGAGTATAGAGAGAAGAAAAAAAAGAGAAGAGAAAAAAGAACAAATGTGGACCTCATATTTTTTTTCTTCTCATTTACATATGGGCCTTATAATTTTATTTATTTTTATTCTTGCTGACTGGGATGACACGTCGGCGAAATCAGAGATTCATACTACTATGGGACCCAATTGCATAGTTTTGTATAGTTTAGAGGTAAATATTTCTGATATTAGGAATTAGGGATGTCATATAAACTCGATGTAAAGTTGAGAGATGCCTGGTGAACTTATATATGGATTTCCTAAAGTTAACGAAATCTAGAATTGCTCGCAATAGCCTTTTCCTTCCGTGATAATCGAGTCATATACGAGATAGATCTGGTCAAAACACGTACACGTAACGTACATCATAAATACCGGATCAGTGATTTGCAAATTCCTATCACCATTGTGTCACTGACATAGATAGTACAGTAATAACGATACTAATTTAAATGCGTTGTTATTTTGGTCTTGGTTCACACGCTGTAAGTAAATTTATTGCACCGCAACAAGGGTTCTGTAAATTGTTGTATCTATTTGAATTTATGGACGGTTAGCGCAATTTACTCTTCAATGTAGTTATCAGTGTAGGTGATTGTACAGTTAAATTTGTTTCCACCAATTGTAACGCATAGGCATTTTGCTATATATCTCTTCTCTATCTCTACTATTTTATATATATATACATATATACATATACACACATATATATATATGTGTATGTATGTATATGTATATATGTATATAAAAAATAAAAATTGAAGCTGTTTTTGTCAGGATTTTTGGTACGTCATCCGTATTTGAGTTGGTTTCTAATTTTATCTTTATATCCTTTTGTCCGTTTGTTTTTTTCGCTATTTCTTTTTTCCGATTCAGTTTTCTTTTTTTTCGCTGCTTTTTTTTTCCGATTCGTTTTTTTCCCTTTTTTGTTTTTTTATCCTGTTTCTTTTCTCCGTTTTTTAGGTGCTTTTTTTCGTTGTTTTTTCCATCCTTTTTTAGCCGGTTTTTTATCTCATCTGATCCGTTGCACGCCGCCGCCGCTTGAGCAAACCCTAGCGCCGTGGCGTGGCCACTTCGATATATATATTCCCATGCGTTGTGTGCTCCAATTGATTGTAAAATTGGATTCCCCACTCCTCACTCATCATTTTTTCTCATAATTTTTCTTTTAATTCGGGTTTAATTCACTAGATTTAGTCTTAGCCGCCGATGATAGCCGGCCGGCCTTTTTATCTCGAATTTTGCAGATTCGTTCTGTTTGGGAAAACGGAAAGAGGAGATCGAGTGAATAAAAAACCCTCAACCAATCTATATAAAATAAAATTCGGCCAGACGATTTTATGGGTAGGATCGGCTCCGGCGTATTGGCAAGATTATCTTGAGGTTGAAGACGACAGTCGAATGTGCGAGCTGGGCCTATAGCTCCACTTGTGGGCTTGGATTGGAGAGAGATGAGGGAGGTACCAAACTAGGTTGGGACTAAAAAGAAAGGAAAGAATGGGCTTTCGGCCCAAACCCAGGAACAATTTTTATTGACCTTTTCAATTATAATGTATATATATAATAATCCTAACGTTTCTATTCATCGCTTAGTTCCTAATAGCGGTTGTACCACTGAAAAAATGTTTTTAGCCGTTGCAACGCACGGGCATTTTTCTAGTGTTATGTTGGAACTGTTGTAGAATATAACAATACCATTTAACATAATTATAATATTGTAAAAGTAGTTGTGAAGAAAAATAGTTACATGATTTTTAAGCTTTCAAGCTAAATTTGAGAGCTCAAAAGTTTTGAAAGTGACTATTAAAGTCAACAGTGTCATATAGCTCGAAATGTACTCCTCATACCAAAATACTCATCCCAAAATATAAGGTATTTTTATTGGATGTGACATATTCTAATAATATAAGTCTGGACGGGAAGCGTACTACAAATCTGGACAGTATCCCTAAACCCCGCGCAATTGTTGTGTAAGTTTAGTAGTATAACAATGAGTAGAAATACTGTGTAAGACAGCTAGATGACATAAGTTTACATAAGTTAATATGGTTTATGATAATTTAAATAATATAGAGAATGATGATCCAAATGTAAAAGTAAGTTGACAGTATCCCTAAACCCCGCGCAATTGTTGTGTAAGTTTAGTAGTATAACAATGAGTAGAAATACTGTGTAAGACAGCTAGATGACATAAGTTTACATAAGTTAATATGGTTTATGATAATTTAAATAATATAGAGAATGATGATCCGAATGTAAAAGTAAGTTGATGTGGCTTTATGAGAGAAGAAAAATGTGGGGAGGTAATTTGGACCATAAATTAATCATCTAAGAGCAAAAACCCAATTAAGGTGATATGGCCTAATAAGAGGAAAATATGAGGAAAATAATTTGGACCATAGACTAATCATCTAAGAGCTAAAAACAATTGATGTAATATGACTTAATGAGAGAAGATAGAATTAACATTAGCTAAGTGAGAATGAATTATATAGATATATAAGATATTGTAAAAAATTATGGAGAGATATATTAAAATATTGTGTGAATTATGTAGGATGATAATTTAGCATTCATGTATTTTAAAGCTTCAAAATTTCATAAAGAGTATATTTCACAAAACTACAGATAATTTGACCAAATTATCACAAATATATAGATTTAAGGTGATGTATCACAAAACTACAGATTTAGCACTAAATTTCTCACATAACTGCAGGTTTAAGGTGGAGTATCGCAAAACTATAGATTTATTAATAAAGTTATCACAAAGCGACATGTTTAGTGACAATTTAATCACAAAACTTACACATTTATAACTCAAACATAAGACTAATGCTATTTAAACTCCAAAAAACTGTAGTTTTGTAATAACTTTGTTACTAAATCTATAGTTTTGCGATACTAACTTAAATATGTAGTTTTGTGATAAATTTAGTGTTAAATTTGTAGTTTTGTGATACATCATCTTAAATATGTTGTTTTGTGATAATTTGATCAAAGTATATGAAGTATTGTGAAATTTACTCTTTAATAAGTTATAGAATTATAGATAATATTGTATGCTTGCATGATGTTCAATACTACCTTTGTCCCAATATAAGTGCAGTTGTGGTTTTCCATGTTGAATGTTTGACCGTTTGTCTTATTTGAAAAAAAAATATGATTAGTATTTTTATTGTTATTAGATGATAAAACATGAAAAATACTTTACATGTGACTATTTTTTTTTCCAATTTGTTCATAAATTTTTCAAATAAGACGGATAATCAAACGTTGGACACGGAAACCCATAACGACAATTATATTGGGACGAAGGTAGTATGTTGTTAGTGGATGCTGATGACATATTTACATGTTAAGCTTCATGATTTTGTGGGTTATAACTTTATAATAAAACTAAGTGATTTTTCGCTCTTTTGCTGTGGGAATTACTAAGCAATTTTCAATATATATTTTTTTTGACAATCGAGCTAGGTGTAAAATGAAAAAAAAGGTCAGGGTTTATCAATACTTATTATAAAACAAACAGATGATTCCCACTCTTTAATGTGAAATATTGATAAGGATATGGTATATATATTATAAAAATGATAGATAGAGTTGTTAAAATATTGTGGAAATGAAGTGAGGGGCATGTTGATTTATTAAATATTGTAGATGATGTTACATGCTCGCGCATAAGGTTCAATATGTGTGAAAGTGCCTGTAGCCTAGTGGTTACAAGAGTCTCAGTAGCACCTGAGGTCCTGGGTTTGACTCCTCATAGGGTGAATTTTTCAGGATTTAATGGCGTTGTACTTTCAGTGGTAGGCGACGTACCCTTGTGTTTTCAGTGGTAGGCGACGTACCCATCAACAGCGAGGTGCATGTGGTGACTTCGTAAAAATCAATGATTTGTTGGCCCAGTCTTCGAAGATGTGTGTGTGCGTGCTTTGTGAGTATCTGCGTTGTACTGTATAATTCTCAAAAAAAATATGTAATTATTACTAGTGGGTGATGACATGGCATGGTTGGGTGATGACGTGGCATGGTTGCATGTTGAGTTTTAGACTTAATAGGTTATAACTTTATAGAAAGTATAGATATGATTCATAGTAATAAGATGTGTCGCATCTAATTAAAGTACCTTATATTTTAGGACGGAATGAGTACCTAGCATGGAAAAAAACTCTTTGATAAGGAACTTATATATTCAAAAGTTTGCAAGATTTGGGATAAATTTGAAAATAGAAAAGGTAGAACGGCTATATATATAGTTTGATTCTGTGCGGCTTCAGATCGCCGTACGCCTTATCGTCAATAAAACTGTGAGTAAAACTAATGGTAAATAAACTATGATAAGAAACGGTAAAATCAATTTAAAATTAAACTTTGAAATTTAAATTTTGGCAGTGGCTTTTCAACTTTAAGGCAAAACGATGGGAACCCAAGTGCGGCTCTGCATGCACTACGGTTATATTAAAGCGGTTTGTTCATTCTCTATGATTTGACTGCGCATATTGCGGCTGGTTGATACTTCGGATGGTTAGCTTCGATTAGCGATTTAGGGGGGACAATACACGGTTTAGCGTTTGTTGATTGGGTCAAAA